ACAATAACATCAATGTCACAAGTCACCATCTTGACAAATTGAACATAATGAGATTCAAAGCACTCAGCCTTGCATGTATATATATATATATATATATATATATATATATATATATATATCCAAATAAAAGTATAAAATTTAATATTACAAGACATATTAAACAATATTAAATAATAAAAAAAAACCCACAACAACAGCAACCGGTTTCGCTCCCGCTCTTCAGGCTTCCACGGGAGATTCAAAATTCACCGTGTTGGCCTGGTCACACTCTGTATTTCATCTGAAGGTTCTGGAGGTGCTTTACATCGGGTCCCGCAAGCCTTCTTTGTGCAAACAACGTTAGTGTTTGCTGGGACTCGTTGTCATCTGCCTCTAGTTCCTTCTTGCATATATACAAAATAATATATATATATATATATATATATATATATATATATATATTCCACCTATTCTTATTGAACATTTTTCTGTTTTAATTTTGAATCTCCCATGGAAGCCTGAAGAGCGGGAGCGAAACCGGTTGCTGTGTTTTTTTTTTTTTATTATTTAATATTGTTTAATATGTCTTGTAATATTAAATTTTATACTTTTATTTCGATCATTAAATTTTGTACCTACAAAAATATCTTTATATATATATATATATATATATATATATATTACAGGTAATGATTCATTGATATATAATCCAGGTGGATTCTAGTAATATTAATTATTGAAACTGATCCACAGAGTGCTTGATGTTTTTATTTTAACAGAGCATGCATTCGGGGCCTGTATAAGAAATGCCCCATAGCAGGAACTGATATAGTAGGACCTGATATTAAACTACAAACAACAAAGCTTCTGGCCATAAATAAACTTCAACACCAGACCGCTTCACCTTACGCACCCACCAATCGCTAACACAAACCCATTCTCATTAACAAGGTGCCTACCAGAGGAGGACTGATAGTGAAAATAAATTTAAAACAATGCTCCAGTCAATTAGGGGCTGATGATAACTGTGCACAGAATGGCTTGAAATAGACTATTTCTATGTTGAGGTAATTTTTGTTTAATATATATATATATATATATATATATATATATATATCCATCCATCCATCCACATATGGGATAAGAACAAATAGAGTATAATTCCACTGTCTGTAGCATTTCATTTTTTTAAAAAGGTGTCAATACAGAGTATAGCTTAATATTTATTATATGAGATTAAAACTTGTTTAAAAAAATTGTTTTAAGCTCATTCTATATATATATATATATATATATATATATATACACACACTCATATTATGTTCAGTTAAAAAGTTATAGGCAAAGAATGCAGTTTTTGAGTTAATTTTTCATGTTAGCATATAAAAAAAATTAAGAAAATGCTCATCTAAACAAAAGAATAAATCATTACCTGTGTATCATCTTAAATTGAACATGTATTACTGAAGGACTTCTGCCAAAATACACATACACACATACATATATGCATCCATTCATACACACAGAGCCACCCCAACCCCAATTCATTTTCCAACTGGCTGCTACTGCACTTTCCATAATTCTTAACACTATTCTCTCCTCCCATTCCCCCACCACTTCCTCATTGTTCTGTCTCGCTCTATCCATAGAGGATATATTTAAGATCAACTGCTGGGAATGACAGGTCACTTTCTATTGATCTATAGCAATTGAACTTGCACACTAAGCACAGGCGAGGGAAAGCACAAGATGACAGTCAGTATGCTGTGCACTAATTCAGTTTTTCTTCTTTCTTTCTTTCCTTTTTTTTTTTTTTTTAATTTTTATCATCGTTTTCTCCTTCAAGTTTTTTTCCTTCTTCACTTTTATTTTCACTTAATTTCTCTCACTCCATTTATTTTACCTTCTTTATTTCTTTTCATCCTGCTTTATCTTCTGTATTTATTTACTTTTTCCTGTCAGTATTTCTTTTTTGACAATTTTAATTATGTCTTTTATCAGTTATCCCCTTTTCTACCCCCCACCTTTGTGCATTTTCTTCTCCCAACTTTTCATTTTCCCCATTCTTCTTTTGTCTCACCAATAACTGCACCCCAAATTATTGCTTTCCCCCTCCTATTTTTGATTTCAGTCCTTCTACTGACCTATTATTTTGTCTCCCATTCTTCAGCCAACCTAGAATTTTCATCTTCAGTTGACCCACCAGTTTAGTCTTTGGTTGACCCATCAGTTTTACCTTCGGTTGACCTGTAATTTCTTGTCTTTGGTTGACCCGTAATTTCTTGTCTTTGGTTGACCCGTAATTTCTTGTCTTCGGTTGACCCGTAATTTCTTGTCTTCGGTTGACCCGTAATTTCTTGTCTTTGGTTGACCCGTAATTTCTTGTCTTCGGTTGACCCGTAATTTCTTGTCTTTGGTTGACCCGTAATTTCTTGTCTTCGGTTGACCCGTAATTTCTTGTCTTCGGTTGACCTGTCCTTTTTTTTTTTTTGTCTTCAGTTGACCTGTCATTTTTTTTTGTCTTCAGTTGACCTGTCATTTTTTTTTGTCATCAGTTGACCCGTCATTTTTTTTTTTGTCTTCATCCTCTACCTGTCATTTTTTTGTCTTCATCCTCTACCTGTCATTTTTTTGTCTTCATCCTACCCGTCATTTTTTGTCTTTTTTTTTCCCTTAAAGCTAAACTGTCTTTTGTGTTTTCTCTTAAAGCTGACCCATCTTTTTTCTTTTTTTGTCTTAAAGCTGGCCTGTCTTGATTTTTTGTCTTCTGCCGACCTGTCAGTTTTGCCTTTGATATTTTATCTGACATCCCCACACCACCATTTTTACCCAGAGTTTCTCAGCTTTATTCCTCAATTGCACCCCATTTCAGTTTTTTAGTATACCTCCATTTTATTTACTTCACTTTTTCTGTTAGCCCCATTATTTTGTTTTGAGTTCTTAAGTTGAGCCTTCCATTTTCTCTTCAGTTCTTCAATGCCCTACTAGTTTTGCGAACAGTTCTACAGTTACTCCCCTGCCACATTATTGTCTTCATATGCTTCTTCTATTGTCTTGAGTTGTTCTCCTCTTCTCTTTTCCTATTTCTGCCCTCAATTCTCTCTTTATTTCTCTAGCCTACTACCCTTTATTGTCTTTTTTTTAGTTCTCTACCATTTTCATTTTTTTCTTCCTTCAATATGTCCTCCTGTCACCCCCTGCATTTTGTCTGCTTTTATTCTGCTCCTTATTCATATTTTGTCATTTTTTCTTTTCATTTCCCCTTTCCAATTTTATTTTCTCTTCTTTCAAGTTTATTCTTCGTTGTCTCATTTTCTTTCTTTTACTCTGCCGTCATCTTTGACGTCTTTCTCTTCTTCTTCTTCTTCTTCTTCTTACATAAGTGCTACCATGCTGACTCTGGGTTCACATTGACAATAATCATCAAGAAGCCGTTTCCTCTGATGAAGGACATTATAAAAGAAAGATGACAAAAGAGAAAAAGAAGGGCATCAAGAGAGTGGAGGTGAAAGTGTTGGGAATTTATCGCATACTGCAGCATCTGGTTTCTATATGTTGGCTTCACTTCATTAGTAACAACACTTTTGCTTTTCCCGCCTGCCATCTCTGTCAGCTGGCGTGATGGATGCAATGCGTGGAACCTCTCACCTACCCACTCTGTACAGATTAGCTGAAATGCAGAATTAGTGCAGCATGTAAATTTTTTCTTTTTTTTTTTTATAGTTTATATATTTTTTATTTATTGTTTGTGGACAATTCATTAAAAAATGGTTACGTGCAGCGAATATGATATTAGAGAAATGAAGTCGGCTAGCCAATCATTTACTTTTAGTTTTTCATTTTTTTATGTTTTCTTTGACAATTTTTTTTTTTATTTTGAAATATTTCCTCATTTTAAATTTTCATATTTATTTAAGACTCATTTTTTTTAGATATATAGTGGGTGTGTTTGTCTATATGAAATCATTTTCTTTTTATTATACTATTCTATTTCCTGCAGGAATCTTATATTTTCTAACTAAAATATTATTTTATCTTTGTATAACACTAATTCTAATATCAAGAAACCATTATGTCGTCAAGAAAGTTGCTGTTTTTTTTTGTTTTTTTTTTATTATATTTATCTTTGGAGGCATATTTAAGCAAATTATATTTTTCTGTGGTTGTTTAAAACATTGCTTTTTATCCCCCATAAGGATAAAAAAAAAAAAAAGACTTTACTCCCTAATCAGCAAGAGATTCTTTTTTTTTTTTTTTTTTTTTACTCCTGTACAAGGCCCAAAAGTCACTTGAGATAGAAGGTTACAGAGTAAGAGGCACAATTTATAGAGATATGTGGGAAAGATAATGGTTGACCATAGACTTGAACAGGTTAAGATTGTAGTGATCTGGGAAGCATCATCTTGGGAGTCAGTTTCACAAAGCAGCAGTTCATAAGAAGAAGCTGCTTGAGTGGAACTTACTTCTCGCTGATGGAATAAAGAGGGAATGAGGGTGGTTTGCTATAATGTGCATAATATGGTGGGTCTAGAACTGGGCGAACTAGGAGTGAAAGAGAATGAAGTTTTTAGAAGGAACTGGAAGTACAATCTTAAAGAGGAAACCAGAGATAAACCACTACTTCTGTTCAAATGCCTGAGAGGATGTGTGAATTGGGCAATCAACGAACTTACATACACCTATTTATTTTGTTTTCAGTCAAAGATTGCATTCAGTCCCAAATGATTCAAGTGGTGACATGTATGTCAAATATATTTTCAGTTTTATTTTTATTATTTATAATGTATTTCATATACTTCTTTATGTGCATTGTATTACTTTACACTTGTGTGTATGTAATACATACCTGAGTGTGTGCCTGAAAGTATTGCCTCTTATTTATTTCCATAGAAACTATGACAAATACAGGGAGCAAAATAATGTTATTAGACAGCACAAATTTTCAGCTAAAACCACCATTTTGACACCACTGGCTATGCATTTCCACCAGTGGTGAACAAGAGATCATAAGTTGACTGCCATGCAGAGGTGCTGGCACATGTCTTGTCATAAATATCTTGGCTGCAACTGCTGAAATACTTTACCCCCCCCCCACCGTGCTCACATTCACTGTTTGGTTTCCACAATTGTTCAACAAATGTCGATGCATTTTTTTTTTTTGCAATTCGCTATACAATAATTCCCTTCCAGTTTTACATATTATAATGTCAGACAAGATTTTGTCAGAGTGTCATCTAAAACAAGGCAAAATAATTATGGTTATAGGCATGAAGGCTCAGCCTCAACTACTATAACATCACTATTCACATTTAGATCATGGTCCCCAAAAAAAAAAACATCACTTTTAGCACAACCTGCATATATATATATATATATATATATATATATATATATATATATATATATATATATTGGGTAGAGGACATTTTTTGTTAGCCTTTGAGTTGGCTTTGATATGGAAATTTCAAAAAATAAAATTTTATTATTTTCTTTTTTCCTGTCTATGTAAAATAAGTCCTTGTGTGTGTGTGTGTGTGTGTGTGTGTATATATATATATATATATATATATATATATATATATGTATAATAATAATAAAAACGCTTAAACACTAATATTCTATGGTCATAATTTGTTCCATTGGAATCATAAATACGATCCAATTCATCAGACGTACAAATTGTATTGAATTTGTCAGTCTGATGAATTGGATAGTATTTATGATTCCAATGGAATAAATTATGATCATGGAATATTAGTGTTTAAGCCTTTTTATTATATTCTTACTCTGTCCTGGACATTGAGTTCTACCTGGATTCTAGCCTCTTGAATTTTTTTTTTTTTACAAAATATATATATATATGTATGTATGTATGTATGTATGTATGTGTATATATATATATATATATATATATATATATATATATATATATATATATATGTATGTATTTTTACATATGTATATATATATATATATATATATATATATATATATTTATATATATATATATATATATATATTATATATATATATATATATATATATATATATATGTTTACATATTTACCAATTTATTATCTATATATATATATATATATATATATATATATATATTTTACATATGTATGTGTATATTTACCACAATATATCTATCTATATATATATATATATATATATATATATATATATATATATATATATATATATATATATTTAGTAAAAACAGACGACTTTAAGGTTCCATGTAATAAATTATTTCACCACAGCCCTTTTAAAAGAACTGCGGATCATCAGACTTTACTTCCAAACAAAAAATGAAAAAGGCTTTTTCATTTTTTGTTTGGAAGTAAATTCTGATGATCCACAGTCCTTTAAAATGGCTGTGGTGAAATAATTTATTACATGGAACCTTAAAGTGGTCTGTTTTTATTTAAATTATTTGCTCTGGATTTACATTGAGCTCTCTGGATTTTATCCTCCTTAGGTTTACCTATACGGATTACCTAGTTTTTCATAAACTATATATATGTGTGTGTGTGTGTGTGTGTGTGTATGTATGGTGACTTACCAGCAAGCACACTATCACCTTAGGTCTCTCAATGCCAATATGTGAAAAAAAATGATTTTATTTTTTCTGTTTTTCTTCATGTCTTTAAACCTGATGAGCCTAAGACTCAACTGCACTTTTTCGTATGTGTGGGTGAGATGTTGGCATAATATATATTTTTAATACAACCATAGATCTATATTCTATTTATGCATTGAGCATGTTAATTATTATTTTTATTTTTTATACCCTATATAGACAGACATACACATCCATAGGGCACTGAAAAGTTCTCCACCTAGCCAAGAAGCCATCACCTTAAAAAAAAAATTGCTTGGTCATTCGATCAGATTTTGATAATTGAAACTGAAGTTTTCAGTAACCCATTGTGTGTGTGTGTTCTGTATATTTAAGCAGCAAATGTTCTTTAAGGTAGATATTAAAAATGACAAACATTTTGTGTTGATTAATTTTAATGTTAAACTTTTCCAACTTACAAATAATTTTGCTCAGAGGAAGAAGAAATTCTGTTAGAAATTGTCTAAAGTTCATTTTTAAAAATACAAGAAATATGGTTCAAGCTTTCAACTTTCTTAAGTTATCATCATCAGAGTAGGTAGAGACAATTGGTGAGTTTCATAGTTGTGACACTAACAAGACGTGACATATGTTTTCCATTTTATTTTTCCTTTTTTTTCAATTCCTTCCTTTTTTTTTCCCTTTCCCCTTTTTTTCCCTTTTTCTTTCTTTTTCGCTTTTTTTTTCACTTTTTTCTCACTTTTTCTTTTTTTTTGCCTCACTTTTTCTTTTTTTGCCTCACTTTTTTTTTTCTCACATTTTTTTTGTTTCTCACTTTTTCTTTTATTTTTTTCTCACTTTTTCTTTTATTTTTTTCTCACTTTTTCTTTTATTTTTTTCTCACTTTTTCTTTCTTTTTTTCTCACTTTTTCTTTATTCTTTCTCACTTTTTCTAAGTTATAATTGTTCTTATTTATTGATGGTCATTTTTGCTGCATGAATATTGGTTCAAGTATTATTAGTCTGTTTTTACCATTTGATTTTGCTAGTATTTTATTGTTTGTAAGTTCCTGTCTAATGTTACTATGATCCTCATTCATGCTACGTATTATGGTGTTACTAATTATATATATATATATATATATATATATATATATATATATATGAGAGAGAGAAGAAAGCAAGACTATCTGCCATTTTTCTGTATCATTTTAATGCACCATCCTTATCTGTCCCTCTTCTAATTTAATTCTCTCCATTCTTTTAACTAACTATTCTTTCATTTTTTTGCTTAAAAAGTGTTTTACATGAAAAAGTTAGATTACTATGAGAAGGGATTCAAGCTAGAATTTTTATTTTTTCTTCAGGATTTTTTTTTTTTTTAAATTTCCAAAATTGTTTTCATTTTTTTTTTTTTTTTTAAATTGTTAATGGATGTTTTATTTTTAGTTTATTAAATATTATAATGAGTAAAAATATTACAAATGCAAGGACAGTTCCCCCTCCCTACACACACATACAAAAAAAAAAAATCAATGTGTCTGCCTAAACAAAGGAATACAAAATGAATGGGATTCTTGAAAGAATATGAAAGGTTGGGTAGAGGACATTTTTTGTCAGCCTTTGAGTTGGCTTTGACATGGAAATTTCAAAAAATAAAATTTTATTATTTTCTTTTTTCCTGTCTATGTAAAATAAGTCCTTGTGTATAATGATTTTGAAATATTTTATGTATATATGTATAAATTTCTCTCATATATATATATATATATATATATATGTGTGTGTGTGTGTGTGTGTGTGTGTGTGTGTGAATATGTGTATGTATATGTCTGCGTGTATGTCTCTCTGTAACATGGGTGCTGAAATATTCTCAGCTTGACCAAGAAGAGAATAACTTAGATACTTGAAACATACATGCTTTCCATATATTCACTCTGATAGCACATCATTTTTTCAGTTTTCCTTAGTCATTGAAATACTAATTTTGGGAAGTGTACCTAGATGAGAACTTTTCACTACCCCACCAATGTGTGTGTGTGTGCGTGTGTGCATAAAGTTCTAGCTCCAACCAAAAAAGAAAATATTCTGACGTTGGATCATTTGGTTAGTTTGGAAAGTAGATTATGAATGTCAAGATCTTTCAATCCTCCCCAACTAATTTCCTAAAAAATTGTCTTTATTTAGGTTAGGATCCAAAACAAAGCAGATATGTATATTTAGGGAATTGGGGGGAAATGTGTGTTCAAATGCACTATTCGATGTTTGTTTGGTCAGTAGGTTCTACATGTTCGAGAGGTCAAGGCACGTCAGATCTAATAACAGTTTTCCCTAGGAGATACGGGTTTAATTCCTGCTGGATGATGCATATTTTTTTGAACAAGATTTCTCAAATATTCAGACCAGTAGATCTAAATAAATAAATAAAAACAGAGTATCTATTTAAAAAATAATTTTTAAACAAATAAATTATATATATATATATATATATATATATATATATATATATATATATATATTTATAAGTGTTTCTAACTTACAAGTGTGTGTACAAGTATCTGTTCATTTTGTTTTCATTTTGTTTAGTTTTCTTTTCCTCAGGAGAAATAACAACTACTTTGTATGCAGAATATTTTGGTGGAACAAAATATCAAGAAATATATTTGAGCAAAAAAAGTAATTTCCTTAAAAAGAAAAAACTTTACAAATTTCACAAGTTGCCTGAGGCAAAGATATTTTTCCATTTGACCCTGACAAAGTCATAATTCATTTGGCCAAAGAGAAGAGTGTACATGGAGAATAAGAATAATATTTTGAGTAAAGTGACTTTTTTCTATTTCAGTATTGATTCAAGAAGACAACTTTGTTATAGTCTAATGGTTAGCAAGCTGGCCTTATATAAATTAAGTCTTTTTCAAATGCCTTGTTTGTGCTCTTGTACCAAATCAATGCTAACTTTAGTATTAAGAGTTCCTCACCAATGTTTAATGATTAACCTTATAGTGTTTGGACATGGTTGGCAAATTTGATAAAAATCAGTATAAATTAATAAGTCAGAAATTTTATTTTAACACAGTGTGTAAGCACATTGTATTTTAGTCTTTTCCTTATATATTACTGATAAAAATAAAATAATCAAAATTAATGCTCATTTAATATAAAAAAAGTGTCTTACAACATGTTGCCCTAGTGGAACAATATGCACTAAAAGGTAATAATTTTAAAATAATAATTCTTTTATGTGTCAAATTTTCCAAGTATTTTTCCTCATTATGTGTCCTAGAAATTACACTGATTCAAAGTGTCCTTTTTCTGTTACCATTTTCCTTAAAAACTTTGTTGATCATATGTTCAGTCCATATTATTTGATGAAAATCATTTCCTAAGAACTTAGAAAATACCCTTTTTCTTTTCTTTTTTTTAATTAAATTCATTATTCAGGAGGATAAAATCAGTGGTTAGATTTTTTTTTCCCTGAATAATTCTCTTCTCAAGACTGGGGAAAACACACGCGCACATATATATATAATATCAAAAGGTTTGTCCTTTAGCTGATTGATATTACCTTCATCATCCTCACTCTAGAGTTTCATAGATGAACCCTCTGGGGTATCACTCCATCCATTTGTCAGGGGATATCAGCAATTCATTATTTATACTTGATTTTTCTTTTTTTTTTATATGCACTTTTCATTGGTGCAAGATTTTTTCTTTTCTTTTCTTTTTTTTTTTTTTTTTTTTTCATTGTGTGGGTGTTTGCACCCATGTGTGTATATGCATCCATGTAGAATGTCATTTTTTTTTTTTTTTTTTTTTTTTTTTTTGTGTGTGTGTGTCCTTTTTGTGATTATTTTCACTTTACACTTTACACTCACACCCTATTGGTTTTTTACCCTTTCTCTCTTTTTCCTCTTTCAATTGTAACCATTTTGACTTTCAGTTTTCCAGACATATACTGTCATTGTTAATTCTTGAGCATTCTGGTGTTTTCTTGAGTTAGGAAAATGGTCTTTCATTTATAACTGTTGAAACTTGACTAATGCATGGAATAATAATGCAACACAAAATGTACTTAGAACAAAATGTATTGAAACAAGAAAGTGTACACAATATTTACATATAGTCTTTTGTATATTCCTGGTAAGACCGTTCCTGGAGAATGTGTTGACTGAGTCACAGTCGGGCAGAGTCTCTGGTTAAATCTCTTGATTCCTCCCTCTCTTCCCGGTACCAACCATATTTATATGGTCAGTACTCCACTATGCAAATTAGGTGGATCCTACCACAACAATAACATAAATCATTTTTTTAATGCTTATATATATATATATATATATATATATATATATATATATATATGTAGGTAGGTAGGTATGTGGAATTCAGTAAATATTGGAAAATACCCATCATCTTATGTAGAGTCATCAAACCTAATGTACACAATCTATTCTTTGGCTTTCCTTACATATACTATTTGTATTTTCACTTAGAAGGGATCAGCCAGAATATAGTATGGGACCAAAATAATGTACCACCTATTGAAGATTAACCTTTTTTTTTGCCTAGACAGTGGTTGCAAAATTTGATGAAAATAAGTTAGGAGAATTAAAAACAAAGTGGAAAAACATTTGATATATTTTATCATTTAGGACTTCATTGAATGAAAATAATGTTTTTGTTAATGCAATTAGATATGCATAAAAATGAGTATATAAAAACACAAGCATTGATTATAATTACACACTGGCAGGAAACGCTAAAAAAATGTTGGAATATTATGAAAATTCTTCCTTGAGCACCTCATGTCTGTGCATTTGTACCATAGCAATGCTAAATTTAATATTATGAGCACCTCACCAAAGTCTATTAATGTTTTAGTGCCTAAACATGGTTGCTAAATTTGACAAAAATCAGTATAAATTGCGAAGTCAGAAATTGTATTTTAACACAATGTGTAATAGTAATCACATATTGTCTTTTATTTTTTTCTCTGTCTTTTACGATAAAGAAAATAACCAAAATTAATGCTCATCTGGTATAAAAAAAAGGTGTCTTAAAATATATTCTGCTCATAGAACAATAGGCACTGAAGGGTTAAAAACTTGATCCTGCAGTCCCTTGCAAACTCAGCTTGAACTATTTTCATTCCATTCTCTTGTTTATTACCATTTTCATTTTTCTCAAATCTCTTTCTATGACATCTTGATTTTCACATTTTGTCAATGATTCCAATTTCTTTTCTGAATTCTGCTTATATTTGTCACAGTTTCCAACATTGTCTTCGCATCACTCAATAAATGCAAAATATCTTCTTTCTTTTTTTCATTTGTGCTTATATTTCTTTCATAATCTATTACAATCTTTATATATATTTGTAATTTAGAATAAATGTATATTAATAACTATACTGTTATATGAATAAATAGGACTTAAGTTGAATAATGAAATCTCTTATCAGCAAGTAAGTTAATGTGCATGTTGCCTGCGGAGGTAACCCCAGCATGTGGCACCTTTTGAAAATACCTGAAAACCATACTACAGGTTGATCCAAGCCTTGTGAGTGAAATTGGGTAGATGGTTGGGCTAGCACAAAGACACAAGTCATCATGACTGAGAGCTTAAGTGTACTGGCCTTGCTCAGACTGTTGATAATTCCAGATAATGCAATTACTCCCAGAAACTGCAATTAAGGTCCACTCAGCATAGTTGCAGTATAAACCACAGGTGAGCCCTGTGTTTGTTGAACAAAGAAAAATGTGCTTGAGCAGACGTCTGCAAAAGGGATTGGCTAGCCACCTTAGTAGACAGGTATACTCAGATACAAGTGGCCAGCTGCCATAATGTAAATATTTCTAATAAAAACATGAAATTCACATGGTATCTTTATCATATCATTTAAAATGAATTTTAAAAATTTGACTGTAATTATTTGGTGAATACAGATTTTATTGTGAAA